GGGCGGGGCGGGGTCGGCGGGGCGTACCGGTGCGGAGCGGAGCAGTGCGGCGGGCTCGCGGGCCGCGACGCAACGCAACGCCGAGCAAAGCAGCGCTACGTAAGCAGAAGCAGGCAGTACTCGTCGGCGCGGCGGCCGGGCCGTAGTCATAGGCGGCGTAGCGCCACCGAGGCAGGAGCGGGCGGAGCAGGCGGAGCAGGCCCCGTAGCGTGGCGGGCCACCGGCGGGCCACTGGCGGGGCGCGGACCGCCGTGCTCGCCGTGCCGCAGCCGCCGTAGTGGTGCAGCCTTTAGTGATACTGCGGCGCCCGCCCAGGAGGGACCAGGAGGGACCCGGCCCGGAGCCACCCCCTCCCCTCACCCCCCGCGACATGGACGTGCAGCAGCAGCGACAGCACCAGGACGCTGACGACCAGGACCAGGTCGCCGGGAGTGTGCCCTACTCGGACGAGCTGCTCGTCGACATGGTGCGCGCCAGGGAGAACCTCTACGACAAGGGCCGCGTGGACTACAAGGACGAGCAGGCCAAGGCCCAGGCCTGGGACGGCATCGCGTCGGCCTTCGAGATGAGGGGTGAGTACGACGTCGACCTGCGCCGCACTGGCCAGGACCCGCACGACGCGTCCTCGAGCCGCTCTGCTGGGCGCGCAGTAAGAATGCAAGGTGTCAGCGCGCCGCATAGCGCACTGCCTGCGCGGCCGGGCCCTGCGGGGTTCATTAGGGCCTCGCCGTGGCGGTACGTGACCTAGCTGGACACCAAGTCGGCGCACAACGTGCCGACCCTCCCGAGCGGCGGCCAGAGTGACTTATCGACAAGCGCGGCGTGACGCCCCCCGTCGACACTCGCCGCTCGATGTCACGCTATCGTGACGCAGCGTGACACGGCGGTGCGTAGCGTCTCTCAGGCGGCGCCGCCCGGCCGGCCCCGTTACGTCACGTTACGCCGCGTTACGTCACGCCTCGGCGCTCGTGCTGCAGAGCACCGCGAGCGCCGCACCGCTCGGCGTCCGGCCTGCCCGGCCTACCGGAGGGCCTCGTCGTCCTCGTCCTCGCCCGCCTGACGCCTCCCTCTGCCCCCCTTGCAGTAGAGGAGTGCCAGACGCGGTGGGTGCGGCTCCGGGAGCGCTTCGGCAGGGAGCTGCGGCTCCACAAGCGCGGCGTGCCGCCGGGCAAGGAGTGGGCGCTCTTCTGCAGAATGCGCTGGCTCGAGCGCTTCATCCAGCCCCGCAAGTAAGTCCGTCCGTCCTCGGAGCTGACTCAGAGACGGTGAGAAACCCCGCCTCGAGTGTGTTTACAGCGAGCATCAGAGCAGCGAGCGAGCCGCGCGCCGCAGCCGCAGCCGCAGCCGCAGCCGCAGCCGCATCCGTAGCCGGGCTTCTCGTCAACGCCGATCTAGTTCCAGATCCCGATGTTGGCCAAATTAGATGGAGTCACAGAGCTATAAGACGCTAAAATATCAGGAGGCTGAAGCTGAAAACCATCCAGTTTACTGGCGGTTATGCTGCACATGATACAGCCGTGTATGCTGGTTGCCTATTAACAACGGTATACTGTCACTGTGCAGGGCACAAAGCGCAGTGATATGATAGACCATCACACAAAGTGGGTGGCGCGTTCATAGTTTTCTTCGTTTGATGTTTTCTTTCTGTTACCTAGAGTTAAATTTTAGTCCTATTTCGGTGCCAAAGTCATACCGTAGTGAAAATAGGAGTTTCTCTGTTCCCCCGACCCCATGTTGGTTGTTGACCCCTCTTCTTGTTGTGCAGCCGGGTTGGCGGTGCCAAGGCGCACGTGGCAGCGCTGCACGCGGCCATGGTGCGGGAGCGCGGGCTGAGCCTGGGCCAGGGGCTGGCCCAGGGGCTGGGGCTGGGCCTCTCCGCCATGGGGGTGGCGGCCCCGGCTGGGGGCCAGGGGACGTCAGGGGCCGCGACCGCTAGCAACAGCGCGGCGTCGGACTCCGGGGACGGCATGGTGGCCGGCGGCGAGGAGCCCGCGGTCACGGCAACCACGAGCCCCCTGTGGCCGCACACGTACAAGCTGTGGGCCGCCGGCGACCACCTCCACCACCATGGCGCGCACCACGACATGGAGGACGAGGACTCCCAGCAGGACATGGCCGTCGACCTTGCCACCCACGCGTCGCACTCGTCCACGCCGCGGCACACCTCGCCCTCGGGTACGTGCCGCTACCAGCGTGTGCCACACTGTGCGCCAGTAGTAATACTCCACCTCACCCGCACTAGAGTCCTATGTTGAGTGTTGTACTCTAAACCTCACTAGCACAAACATTGACTCTCTCGGCCGCAGATGACTTCCACCACGGCCACGCGGACGGCGCACTTCGGCTGCCGCTCGGCGGACTGCTCCCGGCCGGGCCGTTGTCCTCGCCGCGGGACGCCCAGGACTTCCAGGACGCGGTGCGCCAGTCGCTCGCCGTGGTGGCGGGGTCCCTGGAGGGTATCGAGCGCCACCTGTCGCGCGCACAGGGCGCAGAGCCCTTCCTGGAGCATGCGCAAGACCCCGAGGAACTGTTCGCCCGGAGCCTGGCAGCCACGTTGCGCCGTCTCCCCAGGGCAAGGCGCTCCCAGGCCAAGATGAAGCTCATCGCCGTGCTGGCTGAGTTCGAGGAGGGATCCTGACAGGCCATCCGCGCCCCCCGACCCCCGTCGAGGTGGATCAGGTGGATTTGACAACCACTGGCGGTTGTGGATCTCTTCGTGAAGGCTGTGCTGCGACTGACAAGGCTGTGCCGATCTATTCTCAGCGAACACGTATCACATTTTCGTTGATTACTTATTGCTCAAATGCGCAAACCAAAGAAAACATTTTTTTGTACAGAGAGAACGCTTGTCGATGTTTGTTCTTGTGGTTGTAATTTACCCTCGCTTGTGGGACTGTGATCTCAGGCTACAATAATTTTATAAGCCTCCCATCCTCGTTTCGTGTACTTCGTAACATAATTTTAGACAGTTTCCTTCCTTGATTGATATTTTCTTTCTGGTACCATAATTTAAGTTATCGAGCTTTTTGTTTTTGTTTTTTTTTAACAGGGATGTAACTTTGTTTGAATAAATGTCCTTGTTGTAAGCGTGCGTATCAATGGTCTAAAAAGCACTGCGCCACAACCCTGTGCTTCTTTGCCCACACTCACCCGCCCGCCATACGCCTGTATGCGGTACACGGTTTACCCCCACAGAGCAGACTTCGGGTCTGTTGGGCCACCCTGCAAGGTGAACACCCTTCCGTCTCGCATGAGGATGAGGGTTACGTAACCAAAACTACAACCGCGCGGACTCTGGCAATAGGGTGGTTGCAGAGGTGGAAGTAGGCCGCCCGGCGCGGTGAGGTGCGTCGCGGGCCTGCCTACCTCGGCGGTGGCAGGCGCCCTACGCTCACCCGCTAGCCAGCTCCATCTCCGCTGCTGCCGCAGCCGAGTTGGCTCGGTGAATCGCCCCGTCTCGGTAGAGGCCTTATGTCAGCGGGTTGAGCTTTTGTATTGCATGGCATTGTATTATCCGGGAGGTCCCGACGGGCGAGACAAACACAAGGTGGTATTGCAAAATGGTGCGAAACTGTTTGACCTGGTGGATACAGGATTAAGTTTCGATAAAGCGCCTGCGGCTTCAGCAAAGTCTGCGAATAGTCGTTTTCAATGGCTCTGCTACTCCGCTGACAGGAAATGATTTTTTAAAAAATAATAAAAACTGATCAATGCTGCCGCAGGCTTTACTTCTGGCTTCAGCAAAAGTAAATCTTGCATCCCACTACTGCTCCTTCTGGACTGACTCTCCTAAGTCGCGACACCCACGACGTTTGGCTGTGCTGCGACCGACAAGGCTGTGCCGATCTATTTTTTTGTATCTCTTCATTGTGTCCCTTGCCGTTTTGATGTTTAACGAGGGTCGAATACTCCCCTTTTTTTCTGTAATGAGTACTTTATTGGAAGCTCATTCTCTGTGTTGGGTAGGAAGAAAAGTGTCTTACATGGTTTGGATCTTCCTCTTGGTTCTTTTGCTAATTATTTCGACGACTGCCTTAAAATACCTCTACCTAAACTTGAACCAAAATTGAAACAACTGATGCTGGTTCGGCGTCGCATGAGGGGAATGGTCCTCGGCACAGCAAGAAGTCACTGACCCTCGCATCCAGAGAGCGGAGTACATGGCGCAGGCGGGCGGATGGATGCTGGATAAGCGAGCGCGGCAGGGATAAGGGAGCCGGCGGGAGGCAGGGCCGCGGGCCGCACACTCCACACTCCACGGGGCCGCGGCAGCATGGCGAGCTCGTGGATCACCGCGCTGGTGGCCGTCCTGCCGGCCCTGCTGCCCCTCATCGCCGGCCGTTTGGCGTACCGCGCGGCGCACGGCGTGGATCCCGACGTGGCGGAGGCGGACCCCTTCCAGCAGGCCGCGCCTTACTACGAGACGGTGCTGCAGCCGTGCCCGAAACTGCCGCCTGCGGACCAGCTCGACGTCGACCAGGTGAGTGCGCGTCCTGGCCAGGCCAGAGATCAAGACGAACGAGGAACACCACGAGAGACTTGTCTGTGAGCCGTACAAGCCAACTGGGACGGGAAGGACTTGCGGGGGCGGAGGCGGGCCACTCGCCCCGGCGGGGTGCGTAGCGGGCGCGCCTACCTCGCTAGCGGCAGGCGCTAGCCGCTCGTCATATCGTTCGCTCTCCCCCCGCAGCTGCTGGGCCCCTGGCACCTGTCGCTGCTGCTGTTGGCCGACCGCGTGCCACACGAGGGCCCCGGGCTGGAGACGCTGCTGGACGACTCACTATGCGCCGGAGTGGAGCTGACGCGCGCCAACGCCTCCATGCTGAGGATGGACTGGCAGCTGCACCAGCTAGGGCTACCGGCCGGGCTCGCCGACATGCGTCTGCAGCTGGCCGCCGCTGAGCTGGGGCAGCCGGGCCTGTGGGCGCTCGCCACGCCAGTCGGAGGTAAGCAGAGGGCCGAAGCCGGTCGTAGCCACCACTTCTCAGAATGCCTAACGCCTACTCTCTGCTCCCGGTGGTGGTCGCGCAGGTGAGATGCTGGGTACGGTGACGAACGCGGCCCCGCGCTCGCACCTGGTACTGACGGTGTGCGGCGAGCAGGGACGGGAGCGCGTCGTGCACGTCCTCACCGCCCTGCTCACGCGCCGCGCACCGAGTGACCTCGGCTCCCTCGAGCTGCTCCGCCTCTCCAACCTCATGATGCCAGCCAACGGCTACAGACGCGTGGATGAGCGCCTCCTCAGCTGGGGACAATGTTGACCAGTGCCTCACCCTTCGACTGCTGACACGACCTGCGCGTTCGCTTCCAAGCCAAGAAAAGTACTCATAAAAATGGGTGATCAAACTGGATTTGTTTTTCTTTGAATGAAAAAACACATTTATGAATA